ATTAAATGTTTTTCTAAACCAAATGAATTCAACTGAACAGTGTTTCTTTACTACACTGTAAATAAATCAACAGGACTGCATCTGTTCCACTGTTGCCAGATTTGTGGTCTTTAATTTCCTCCTCTGTCTCCTAAGATTCTGGACAGCATCTACTTTAGCCGTCGTTTCCATGTCCGCTGCGTGGCTCAGGCTCGGGACAAAGCTGGTCACCTTGGAACTCCACTGAGAAGTAACATCGTCACTATTGGAACTGAGGGCGCCATCTGCCACACCCCAGTCACCACTGGAACTGCAAGAGGATTCCAAGCTCAGTCCTTTATCGCCACACTCAAATACCTGGACGTCAAGCACAAAGAGCATCCAAACAGGTAAGGCAAAAAGCAGTTAGAAAGAGAACTTGATTAGTTTTTAGATCTGTAACTAATATAAATATTATTTTTTTCTGTTTCCTGTTTTTTCTCTTGTGGGTCAGAATCCACATCTCGGTGCAGATCCCACACCAGGATGGCATGCTCCCCCTGGTGTCCACCATGCCTTTGCACAACCTGCACTTTCTGCTCTCAGAGTCAATCTATAGACAGCAGCACATCTGTTCCAACCTTGTCACACTTACAGACCTGCGGGGTCTTTCTGGTCCGTCTGCTACATCCTCACACTCTCTGTTAATGATACATCCCAACTGTGTCTAAATTAATAAAACTTTAAAAACTCTGTTTTTGCTCCCACAGAGTCAGGCTTCCTGGATGACGTCTTGTACGACACCATCTCTCTGGGACCTGGGTACGACCGGCCGTACCAGTTTAACCCCAGCGTTCGGGAGACAAAAACCATACAGCTCTACAAGCACCTGAACCTGAAGAGCTGCATCTGGACGTTTGATGCCTACTACGACATGACAGAGCTGATAGACGTGTGCGGTGGCTCGGTAACTGCTGACTTCCAGGTACATTCTAAAATTATACAAAAAAAGAGATCCTCTACAAGTACTCTACGTCTTTGTTTTTGAGATATATAATTAAATCCTCTTGATTTTCCCCAAGGTTCGGGATTCAGCTCAGTCCTTCCTGACGGTGCAGGTCCCTCTCTATGTGTCCTACATCTATGTGACTGCACCACGAGGCTGGGCATCTCTAGAGCATCACACTGAGATGGAGTTCTCCTTTTTCTATGATACCATCCTCTGGAGAACAGGTCAGGACTTTACGACTCAAATAGACTTAGGGACGGAAAAACAAAATCTGGGTCAGATATCAGCAGTGTGCTGGGGCAAAATTCCTAAATTTGTCCTCTGAAAATGTATTTAAGACGATCTCTAATGCTCCTGTAAAATCCTCTGTTACCTCATGTAAAATGCCCAGCTTGGTTTCTGTAACAGAGATGATTTCCATATCTTTTTACATGTAGGGAATTCAAAAAGTGTTGGTCTTGCATTTCAGATGATTCAGATTTTTTAGATGAACAACAGGTAAAATAATAAAAGCAACTTAATGTACTGTATTGATCCAATATTTGGGAAATTCTTGTGTTAGTAGTAGATATGCTGTTAACAGGCTGTCCCTAGAAATGTCCTCTAGGAATTGAACCCAGGACTCTGAGTTCAAGGGAGGCGTGCTAACCGCTACACTATGGAACCGAAGACTATGGAACTGCTATGGAATGACCAATAGTCACCAAATATCCAAATTTTTAAGTAAATTTCCTATGGGCAAATCAAATAAAGTCACATGTTATTTCAAATCAAGGAATGTGAAGTCACTGTTTTGTGACTTTTTTTGTTGGCACATTCTTTATGCAATCAGACTTCTTGATATTACTGTTACTGTCAAATAACTAATAAATCTTACTTGTTTCAAAGGTTTTTTACATTTTAAATGTTGCATATAAATAGCAGAGAAGAAATAAAAACAATCCGGTCGTTGAAGTTACTCTGCCTTAGACTTCAAGTCCAAGTGAAGTCAGTAGTAGTTATAGTTACTGGGTAGAGATATTAGAACAAACGTTTAAACAGTTACTGATTACTGTTTCTAGGAATACAGACGGACAGCGTTCTCTCAGCCCGACTGCAGATCATTCGTATTTACATCAGAGACGATGGTCGTCTGGTGATCGAGTTTAAAACCCACGCCAAATTCCGAGGTAAGTCCTTCAGAAAACCTCCAGGCTCTCTGACTGTCTCAATCAAAGATGAATGTTTCTAAATTTTACCTGTTCTCATCTTGCAGGTCAGTTTGTTACAGAACATCACACTTTGCCAGGACATAAGTCACACATGATGGCACCAGACCATCTGGGTGGCATCGAGTTCGACATGCAGCTGCTGTGGAGTGCTCAGACCTTTGATTCGCCGTACCAGCTGTGGAGAGCAACCAGTTCTTACAGCAGGTCAGTGGGTCCAATGCTATCAGGAAAAATAGACCAAAGCGTTGAACAGAGTAATAAACACAAATAGCTGAACTTCATCAATGGTCAAGTCAATGTTTGGTACTTCCTGTTTGCAGAAAGGACTATTCTGGAGAGTACACCGTTTTCCTGATCCCCTGCACTGTCCAGCCAACTCAGCCCTGGATCGACCCAGGGGGTAAACCTCTGTCCTGCACAGCCCACGCTCCAGAGAAGTACATCCCAACAGTCTTTTTTTTTCTCACTGTTCTTAGAAATGGAAAATGATTTATTTAAAACTCAAATCCAGAATCTAAACCTTCAAACTGATCTGTCCTGTTCTTTGGCAGATTTTTGGTACCAATCGCCTTCCAGCAGACCAACCGTCCTGTCCCTGTAGTTTACTCCCTTAACACTGAATTCCAGCTCTGCAACAACGAGAAGGTTTTCATGATGGATCCAGCCACTGTTGGCGTGTCCATGGCAGAGATGGACTACAAGGGAGCATTCTCTATGGGTAAGACTGTGGATTTGAATGTAAAAGGAACTCCTGGTTTACTGCTAGCTTTTGTGGTTAGCCTATATTTCTAAGAACATAAGTATAAGTATAAGTATGACACCGTCCCCACTCACTGCTCCCCTTAAAGCTGCCCCCTGCTGACTTTGGTGATGGGTTAAAAGCAGAGGTCACATTTGGTTGTGTGCAGTGGTGAGCTGTGTCACAGTGACAAGGAGTTCACTTTCCCTATATGTTTTCTCAGATATTGACATAAACATGAGTTAACCTTTTGCACCCCTGCTTTTGACCCCCCTGCAGGTCAGACCTTGTATGGTAGGGTGCTGTGGAATCCTGAGCAGAACCTGAACGCTGCGTACAAACTTCAGCTGGAAAAGGTTTATCTCTGCACTGGCAGAGATGGATACGTTCCTTTCTTTGATCCAACAGGAACTCTGTACAACGAGGGTCCGCAGTACGGCTGCATTCAACCAAACAAGCACCTCAAACATCGGTTCCTACTCCTGGTACTGACCTTAGCATTAAATATACACACAAAGGAGCTCATACACAAACACATTTATTTCAAACATTTCAATACAGATATAGCTTCATAACTTCATAACTTCTATCATTGCAGGATCGTAAACAGCCTGACGTGTGCGACCAATATTTCCACGATGTTCCTTTTGAAGCACACTTTGCCTCCGAGATTGTGGAGCTACAGCCCATGTCAGCCATGCCAGGGGTGGACGGCTTCACCATGAAGGTGGATGCTCTGTACAAGGTGTGTGAGGACTGACCTGTGGTACCTAGAAATACTCTCGTTGATACTGTTCCTCTGTTCCTGGTTCCTTCTTTAGTTCTTGATACTATTTCCTGTTGAGGGATGTTTTTATTAAATTCCCCAACTTCTTGTATTATTTCCTGCAATGGAAATGGATGTTGCTGGTAGACTAGAAAATACTTTATTTGTCCATAGTTGGGCTTTTACATAAATTGATTTTTTTACAATGAATATATAAATATCAATGTTACTAAGCAAACATTTAACCATAAAAGGTACTTGAAATCACACAATATGCAAAACTATATATACAGTATCTATATATATAAAGACCAAAATGCAAATATATTTTTAGCACAATAAAATGTCTTAACATACAAAATTTCAAACACAGTATATTCCAATTAAATAAAAAAAATCAAGTAATCAAAAAATATGAACATTGTAGATGTTAATAACTAAAATGTTTCTTTTATTACACCTTTCTTGTCAATAGTTTAGCCAGTCAATGAATTTTATTTCAGTTTACTGTTCCTGTTAACCCTGTATGTCTCTGTAGTTCCAGAAACCAGTCAATGTAGTGCCAGTGCCAGTATTTCTGGTTCTGTCCCTAGTGTCTGAAAATAATTCCTGAAAACAGGATTTTGTGGAATGAAGATGAGTTAGCACTGCATGAATATAACCCTTTGCTTCTCTTTTAATCTTTGTTTGATTGACAGGTGGAGGCAGGGCACCAATGGTACCTGCAGGTCATTTATGTAATCAGTCCCGAGTCTCGGTCCAGTCCGAGAATTCAGCGCTCAGTGACCTATCAGCTGGGTCGATCCAAACGTGACCTGGTGGACAACAGTGGACGCCTGACTCTGGACGAGTCACTGATTTATGACAACGAAGGCGACCAGGTGAAGAATGGTACCAACATGAAGTCACTTCAACTGGAACCCGGAGCCTCCCCCACCTTCAATGCACACATGGGCAGCTCTGTGGGCGGGGGTGTGGCCGCTGTCACCATGTTGGTGCTGATTCTGCTGGCGTCCTGCTTACTGTTCCGTCGATGCCGACGCTCTGCAGCCACAAAGCAGGAAAGGGCAGCAGCAGCGGCAAAGGTGTGCGAGGAATATCCCCTTAACACCAAGGTGGAGGTTTGTATGGACAAATGTGTGGAGAAGAACTTCAGCAGCAAACACTGCACCGTCAGAAACGTCAACGTCTTTGATCGTAACTACAACCCAGGCAATGGAAAGGTCAAACAGGTCAACCTGGAGGTCAAAGTCCACAACAACCTCAACGAAGGCACCGAGGTCTGAAGAGACTGCCAAAGACCATCAAGAGTGGAGGGGGAAATACCTTTTTTTTTAACTTTTCTAAAAAAAAAAAAAAGAGTTTGTATGAAAAGAATTAGAAGTTTGTCCATGTATTTTTCTACCATTTTTAAAAAGGGAAGTGTGATAAGCAAACATCAGCCGAGCATTTTTATCATTTAAATACTGAGCTACCTCAGGAGACCACCAACCAATCAGCTGCTAAAACATCTTAAAACATGTTTCTTCTACCCAGAGTAAATCTATTATGAATATTTCCTAAAAAATATAATTTATCTTAGCAAACTGCTGACAAATTACAGAATCAAACTGCCTGCTTCATATATATGTATGTATATATAAATATACATACAGACGAGGGTGGTTCGTCTACTGCTATGAACCACCCTCATAGCAGTAGACGTCCAATACCACCTTATATCTTTAAATACAATAAAGTGTCCCCCTTTAAACTCAGGAGACCACCTGAAAACCTTTGCAATCATTCTTTCTATCCAGTGAAGCTGCCAATCGATCCATCATCATCTCCAAATATCTAAAATGACCAGATTACTCTGCCAAAACAGAAATAAAGAAGAAAAGATGTAGGATTATCATCAAAGTCAGTTTTTTTTTCCTCTCCTCAGTCACTCGGCAGCAGTATGTCAGCTGACAGGTAGCTCAGCTTAGTCTCATTATAGTCATGTTTTTATTTTTATTCTTTTATTATCATTATAAGTCATCAGTATGTCTGTGTGATTGCGTTATTTTATTTTCATTCACTTCTGCAGCTGTGAATACGACTGACCTTTGACTGAATTCAATGTTCCAAGTGCAATTATCAACTCTTGATTAACCATTGCCTTTGTTTACTCAGTTTGTGCTCATTAAAGAGGAAAACTCCAGTTCCATGCCTTAACCAGAAAAATGTGCCGACACTCACTGTTTTAATTGAATTTTTTTTCAGACGCATCTGTGGCAGCTGCAGATCAAAAATACCATGATTGAAAAATCACAGGTATTTTTGAAACCATTTTTTGTTCATATAATGGGAATGGTTAAAACTTTGGATGCTGAGTTTCATTAATCGGGTAGATGATCAGATGATCACTTACTGCTGTTACAAATGCATGCTGTTATTCATACACACACACACTGGACTGTGTTTATTCTCATTATTTTACTCTATTATTATTTCATTATTTTAATTATTATGATCATAATATTGCTGTTCTACTGCTGATGTTGAAATGACTGCAACGTTTAAACACGGTACATTTCTCTGACTCCACCCACTTCCTGTCTTCTTTCTACTGTGTGCCTATGAGACATAGGAGTGGGGGATTCTGGGAAATAATCCTATATTTTTGGTGCTGTTATTTTGTGAGAAAAAAGTTACAAAGATGTTTTGAAATTGTTGGCTTTATTTTGGTGCCTTTTTATTAAATAAAATTAAGGTTGAAAATTAAAACATTTGTCAGTCAAATATATATATAT